AATATTTGACCAAAAGTCTGCCATTTTTTCTACATTTAAGGTGCTGAATCCATTTTGTATGTTCTGCTCTCTAATTGTTCTGTAAAATTTCTTTGGGTCCGATTCAAACAATTTATTTTGTCGCCAAAATTGCTCTCTCTTCTTATATCTTCTTATTCTCTGAGAATAGAGCAATACCTTTTGTTTTAAAGTTTCCATGGTAAGTTCTATATCTTCCATGGTCTTCAATTTATAGATCCTTTTAAGGTGATCCAGTTTCTTTATTGTCCTCTTCTTTAAATTATTATTCTTCTTCATTTCGGATACCAGGGAGATATGTAATCTTATTCTTTCTATTTTTCCCTCTATTCTTTGTATCCATATTGGTGATGTTGACTTTTTTGTTTCCATTCTTATTATTATTATTATTATTATTATTATTATTATTATTATTATTATTATTATTATTATTATTATTATTATTATTGTTGTTGTTGTTGTTGTTAACGTGATTTGAAAAATTTATTCGCGGGAGTTCACGAAATTCACTCACCCCCCGCCTCCCAATGAATTAAAACCGTAGAAATTTATGGAAATATTAATTAAATTATTATTATTATGATTATTATTATTATTATTATTATTATTATTATTAATATTTGTCATAAGCAGACATGTTATTCTAAAACCACGACGTTAATTTTTCTCTCTCTCTCTCTTTCCTTTTTTTTTACTCAAAAATCTGATTGATTGAATTTTTTTTTTGTTATAAAAACGAGATAAAAAAATAAATTGTAACCACGTCGATACGAATTATTATTACTATCTAATTCCACGACGAAAATTGAATAAATAATAATAATAATATTATTAACGTGGTGAAATTAACTGAATTTTTGTTTTGTTTTTTTTTTTTTTTTATTTTGAAAAACGTCGGTTCCGACGCGTTTTTTTTAAATTTTAAATTATATCGAATATATTTCAAGTATCGAATACGTCAATTGATCGATCGATCGATTGCTCGATCGATACGTCGATTTCGGGTCATGGTAAATAAAAACCGGTGGAAAAAAAAAATTATTTCGAAGGTTACGCGTTGGGGAAACACATAAATAATTTGTCAAA